TTCCCACACCATGCCCTTTCTCTACAGCCATTCAGTTATCCCAGCATGCAGTCCTGACCCTAACAGATGACTTGGCTAATGGGATCTCATCAGTGCCATATGCCGGTGGAAATCTCTGTTTCAGATGAACTGGAAGCTCTGAGGAGCTTATTGAGCAGTTTCAAACCATCATTGCTGACGCGACTCATTGCTGAATGTCTCCCAGTCTCTTCTTCCTACTTCCCGGTGCTTGAGACTTCCGAGAGTCGTGGCGAATTGATTAAGGCACAAGTTGCCTACGGTACTTTGGTATGGCATGTGTAATACTATCTCTTTGGCTAGCAATTTTTTAGTAGTATTTTAAAGCCCCTGTATGTTAAAGTACCCTTAGTAGTACCTAAAGCCCCTGCTGAGATTGGAGCCCTGTTGTATGCCTGGCACTGTAGAAACACCTATGTATAGTGTCCCTGCCCTGAAGCTCTTGCAGCTTAGGTGGGCAAGATGAACTGATGTCAGCTGGGAAACTGAAAAACAAGACCAAATCGCCGGTTGTAAAATATGAATTCCAAGTTACGTTCACTCCTGTAACATTATTGTAGTCAGTAGTGTTATACCCACTGAAGCTGGTTGTGAGCTTAGCCCCTGAGGTACATCTACATGACATGAGGCAGAGATTCTGGAGATAGGTTTCCCCTATGTCCATTAGCTCCCAACCTGGATGTAGTCTGCCTGCACTTGCAGAGCACATCTATTGCTTCAAGAGCTTGTAGACCCAGAGCTAACTGAGGTCTCCCCACACATCCCTGACTTGCAATATGTAGACAGGCCCTAATTGTGGGAATAAAGAGCACAGGCCTGGTTTTCCTCCGAATGTCCCACAACCTTTACCCCAGTGAAACTGCACTGATCTCCAAGAAGTTACACTGGAGAAGAAATGAGTCCTTTGAATTTAAAACTGGAAATGAAGAATGCCTACCTTAACAAGGAAGCGGTTTCCATAGACTCAGATCCAAGATAACCAAACACACATTTTAACTAGCTAAAATGTTTTTTTTTCTTTCAAAGAGAGTTTTGAAAAGCTCATGCCAGCCGGCAAGGGACGCAGCTAGGAACACAGACGTGGGTGATGTGCGGTGATGGAAAGATTCACCATTTCCAGCCAAACCCTGGATTGCCCAGAGCTGTCGATTGTGGATCAATAGATCAAAAATGTTCTCTCAGGTGGTACAGACACCCTGCTTTCCTGCTGGTCATGCAAGGAAAAGGGGATCCCTAGATCTGTTTTTCAGCTTACACTGAGACGTGGTTCCCAGGGAAGGGTGGCAGCATTCCTGGGTGTGAAAATACTTGCACATCACCTGAGAAACATTAAAAAGCTCAGAGTGCTCATTTGCAGAACAGGGAAACTGCATCCCTGAGCATCAGCTGACTTGCTCAGGGCCTTCAAGTGAGTCAGTGGCACAGACAGGAACAGAGCCCAGGTGTCCTGACTCCTAATACTTCCCAACAGAGCATAGCGAATCCAGATAACAAGGCTTAAAATTATCTTGCAGGTTGTTGAGACCCATTGCACATGGGTGAATGTCTCCTTTATGGTAGCAATAGGCTTTCATTTATTGACCTTACCCCATTGCTAGGGGGCACCGTGATCCACGCCAAGATGCCAAGCAATGGGAGGGCAAAAAGAATCAGCTTCCATAAGCTCCGCTATCTTTCTGCTAAGTAAATTGTCCTGCCTGGGAGATGACCTCAAGTGGCTCCCACATCCTGGTGCAGAAGTGGGGGTCAGTACAGCTAAACAGCCATATACAAAAGGTGGGGGGAAAGATCCTCTTAGCACGCATTAACTGAAATTTTCAGGATTAATGGAAAAGATTTGGCGATTGGACAGAAGCGAGCTTTTAGCATAGATAATTTACGTTAGCTCTCTGGAGTTGAGGGAAAGGTCAGCTACTCTCCCAAAATGTAGTAGGAAAAGGAGAGGGTATAGACAACTGGACACAGAGTAGGGATATAACAGGTAAAAAGGGAGAGAGAGATTTAACCAAATGCAATGTAAACAGTCTCATGAGCTATTACAGTGGGGGGTGCCCTTCCTTGAAAATCTTATTGAACTGGGGGCTTATATGCTATCACACACCAAAAGCAAGAGGGATTGCTGTAAACACTGGGAGCCATAACATGCAAAAGCAACTAGGGAGAAGCGATAGCTCATCGTTCCTTAGTGCTTGGTAAAATATGTTCCTTTGCAGATAAAGGGTCTAGATGCCACTTACATCTCCCGGAAGCTCTTAGAATACGTGGTCTGTGCTAGCCCTTAGCAGAAGGGAGACTTTACCCTTCTGCACTTATACAGGGCTGATCCAAGGAGCATTTCTCTCCCCCCCCCCTCCAAGGGCAGAGTTCCTGCCCTAGACAGATGTGCATTGTTACTTTGTGATCCCATGTGTCATCACAGAAGTGGTTCCCCCTTAGCAGCAATTAAAGAGTTCTGATGAAAGAGGCTTCATAGGAGTTGTTGCTGCTGCTTTTGGGTGGGAAACATTTATGACAGGTGAATGCTTACGTGAAGAAGGTTACTTTAACATGGAGGAGCTACAAACCAGAGCAATTCAGTATTGTCTGTGGATTTTTATTTCCGATTGCTTTTTATTACAGTTATTCCTTCAGACATAAAATAACTCAAATATCTCTAATCTTTTTAGCCTGGAATTTTAAATTCTAATGGGCTTGTTTTAATTTGCACGCATGCTTGTTAATAATGAAATCTATTTAACGTGAGTTAAAACTAAAAGCCTGTAATGGTAATTCAAAACATAAAATTCTATTGCACTTCTGTAAGGATTCCCAGTTAATATTCTTAAGGATTTTTAACGGATGCATTAAGTAGGCATTGGTATTAGCAGAAACATCACACAAATTAAAATTAGGCTCTTGGTGACCATTTTAAAATGAATATTCACAGACTCTTCAGCATGAAATTAAATCTAGTTACATTTGACACCGCTGGTACATGTTCAGGGACTATACTGAAGAAAAAAGTTATGTGGATTCGATATTGGCACATGACACAACTTCATTTGCCACCATCTGCTGGGTGCAATAATCAGGCTTTATATTGGACTGTCCAAAAACATATTTAATGCTTAAATCAGATCTAAGATGTAGTCTGGTCAAATGGACCCTTTCAGGAATCCAGGGTTCCTTTTTTTTTTTGGCAATGTTAGTGACTCCGTGCAACCTTGGGTAACCATAATCTCCCTGAGTTTGTCTCCCTGGCATGGTGCCTAGCAGTTACTCTAAAGTATGAAATATGGCTTTCCAGCTGTGGGTATTTACCATGCTACACCTTCATGGAGTCCCCTATTCTCCCAGTGTAAAAGCAATATTGTGAAGCCTCCTAGTCTGTTCGTAGTGCCTACCTTGAAACACGAAGTTACATGTTCTGTCACCAGCTCCTTTGCATTGTCCTGACAGGGTGCAAATGAATCCATCTCAGCCTATCTTATGGAAAGACGGTTTCTTAACATGGAAGCAGCTCTTTGTAGTGCCACTTCTCTTGTTTGTGCTGTTATAAACACGGGGAGCACCAAATCACTGGTGCTGAAGTGGGGCTAGGGGCAGGACAGTCAAGCCTTCTCCTCTGGGCACAGACCCTCCAGCCTCTCAGTCATTTTTTGGAGCCCTTAACAAATTATTTCCTGTTGCTCCACTCTCCCTTCTGAGTATGCAGAATGAAACATAGCGTTCTCAAAGTTGGACTGACAGTCCTAAACAGCATGGCAATTAAGCATGTGTTTAAAATGAAATCCCATTTAAGTCAGTGGAGCTTAAGTATGTGCCTAAAGTTAAGCACATGACTGACTCTTGTATTGATTAGGAATAGACGCAAGAACTTAAGTGCTTTGAAGAACTGAAGCCCCTAGAGTGAGAGATGATCATGTCCCTTGTCCATGAGAAAATGCTTCCATGAAATCTCTCCAGTTAATATCTTCCCAGGATACTCAGCAGAAAATAAACTCCGCTTGAGCTTCTCTGTTGGCGTTGAAGACGACACCCCCTGTCTGTGTTCAGGCTTCTGGAATGAGACAGCACTTTCGGTGATATATCATGGAGACTTTAAAATACAAAAGCTGAGTGTCATCCTTGTGGTGATGTATACCACAAAGAGCTGTCACTCCCATGATGTAGCACAGCATGGGAATGGTCTCACTTCAAAATCTATTGCTGGGATAATGGCACTTTGAATTATATGGTGCCTGAACTGCCAGGATTTGAACTGCTCACAAATGTAGACACGACAGGGTCAAAGAATATCCTTGCTTTTTATTTAGACCACTGGACTGGCAGGAGAGCAAGTAAAACTTGGTTTAAATGAATCTTAATTTAAGAATTCACTGACTGCGCATAAAAATTTCAGAAGCAACTTAGGTTTGCAAAAAGGACTTGAAGACTCGGTTCAATTGGAAATGGATAGTTCTTGTAACAACCCATGGCTTCACATGTTTAGAAATCACAGGTGACTGCTTAGATAAAACACTAGCTAGTAGAGCTAAGCAGGGAAATGTTCCAGGCTGCACAAATCTTCAAGATTTCAAAATTGTTTCCCAACCCAAATTGAAACAAAAGGTCAAAAATCACAAAAGTCTCTAGTAGCTTTGTTAACTATACAGCTCCTGGTCAAATCTGTGGTTCTCTAGGGGCACCTGAGTGAGATTTCACAAGCAGCTTTCTTCCTCGTGTCTTCTTCAGATGTCTTAGATTAAGGAAAGCAACAAAGCAAGCCTTTCTGCTCCTTGACCAAATCAGTGTCAATGAGGTTGTGCTTTCAGTTACATCAGTGCAATTTGATCTTGCAAGCTCCTGTTAGTCCACTACAAATAG